AATTTCAGGTAAGTTCATGGGGTTATTCGTTGACATATATACGTTAAACTGATAGAATTCACGATGTGAAACCCATTTAGATACAAAAATTGAAGCTTATTGAAATATAGGGATTAAATAGACACCATCCTAAACGTATGGACAATTATCATAAACTTTACGTAATCTTAAAAGTTAAAAAAGAAAAGAAGTGTGATTGGTAATGAAGATGAGTTAAAAAGTAGTTTGAATAATGTGCAACACAATGTCAGGTATAAAAGGTAGGAAGGAGAGATATGAGGACCACTAGGGTTTCCCTTTGTTGCAAACAAACTCAAATTCTTCAAATTTAATACTTTATCCAAATTAGGGTTTGGTGGGGGGTTTTGATTCCTTCCCAAAAATGGTGCCTTCCTTTGGCTATTGTTAAACCCAATATTATCTCCTATTTTTGGAAACCCTATTTTTTGGTGGTCCAAAACAATCAATGCTTACTCATTATTAATTTCATTTTTCTCTCTTTTTTTCAAAATATCATATATTGACAAATTCAAACCCATGAGTTGGAATTACTATTCAAATTTTGAATTTGATGGTCAAATTCAAAAACTCCATTTGTTATCTCATATTGAATTCTGTCGAGAATATTTTTTATAAGGGATTACACCATCCTCTTCCTATTTACTTTTCTAACTTCTGGGATGATTGCGAATGGCACTATGTATGAATTAAGAATTTGCGAGTTGTATCTCCCTGTTTTAAAAATGACTACGACGAGAAATTGTAACACTCAGAATTGGTACAGACAAGGGGAATCCGACTGTTTAATTAAAACAAAGCATTGCGTTCGATGATCCCTACGGATGCTAACGCAATGTGATTTCTACTCAGTGTTCTGAATGTCAAAACAACAATATGTAAACAATAATAACAAAGTAATTTCTATTATTTTATTAAACACAATCAAATGAACATGAAAGTTACTTAAGAAAATGATGCAAGTCCAATTTTAAAATGACAACTTTACTCAAATAATATGTTTTTGTAATATATATGACTACTAATATATGTATGTGATATACATATGATATATACTGAGTGTATGAGATATACTAACAATATGTACGTGATAAACTACTTATATGAGTGTCTGTGCAATATATATGTGATATACATCTAATATGCTACTAATATGAGTATTTGATATTCTACTGATATAAGTGAAAATTTTTGTTAAATTTGAAAATTTAGTTAACATATTTTGAAATTCGTAAAAAAATTTTGCTACTCACTGCGATTTCCCTAAAACTAAACCGGTAGGTATGTCCTTGAGTAGATTCCACATAAGCCCCTATATGAGTAAATGTTTAAGCTTAAGCAAGAATAGTCTCCTCCCAACGCTATTATTTTGCCTATACCCCTCGATCTAAAAGGTATGCCACAATCGGTTATTATAAAATTGTTATAATTTTACCTTAATATTTTAATTCTATAAATTTTGAAAATATTAACCAATGAAGCTTGTATTTTAAATCTATTAATTACAATAGTAATTATGACACCAACTAAGACATAATTCCAAACATCTTTCATTAGATGAAGGTCCCATGGATATCCTATTCCAAATATGTTAATTCAAAAAAAAAAAAAACATATAAAATTTTGCATTAATACTTGATTAAATTTGAAACCTAAGATTAAAAATAGCCGAGCATCAAACAATAATACACATTAAATGATTGAATAACTTCTAATAATGTCTAACGGTATTCTTTCTTTTTTATATTTGGTAATTGTGTTATTTTGTCTCATATTTTCAAATGTGACAAAAAAAAAAAAGTACTAATTTTTTATTTTTTATTTTTTTGAAAAAAAAAAAGAGGTCTTGATTTTCGATTAATTCAAGGTGCATGTCTCCCTTCCAATAATGTCTCCGACAGAGAGACTAGGATGACATTGACCCCATTCATATGTCTATTCTAATTAAAGTTAATTGTTTTATTTTTCATTTCAGTATTAGTAAAATTTATATTCTAATTAAAAAAAAGATTAAAAATATTTTTTAGAAAATATAATTAAATCGTAAAATTGATTTTTGTTTTTCTTTTTTATCACTAACGCACTATTAAAGAGTATTTTTAATGGCCCATTTAAACTTAAACTCGGCCCATAAGACACCCATTACATTTTTTGAGATCAATGTTCTATTTCCTAACTTATATTTGTTTTACTTAAAAAAAAAAAAAGTTAAGTGTTTTCTAGAAAATCAACAATAAAAGTTGTTGTGAAATTAATTATTTTTTTAATTAAAAAAGAAAAAGAAAAATGACTATGGAACAAAAAGATTTAAATATTACTTTATTTTTAGAAATATATTGTCATTTTCATACACAAAAGAGGGGTTTGTTATTGATTTGGGGCATCTCACTTAGCTAAATAAGAAGTGGGACAAATTTAATAGAATTTGTGGGAAAGTGGGCATGAATTTGGTAGTGGTATGATTCTATTTAGAAATCTCAATTTCTTTACCTTAAAATAGAAACCTATTTTTTCAATGTTGTTTGGGTTATTTTGGGCATTCATAATTACCCAACAAATCAATCAATTTGGACCTCATTGCCCTTCTTAAAAGGTCAACCATAACCACCCTAAACAAACTTCACCTACAAATTTATGACTTTTACATTAATATTCTTTTTCCAATATTTACAAGTTCAAACCCAATATTTTTATTTTTTAATCTTTTTAATCGATGGATAAAGACTAACTAAATTAAAAGAAAAATTAAAGATTCAACGGGCAAATTAAATGGTTTGTAAAGTTGTGTTAGGCCTAACCAATAACAACTTTATTTGATTAAAGAAACATACTGTATGCCAAAACAAGCATAAATAGACCATCTATGAAAATAAATTTAATATAAAAGTCTTTTTTAAGATAGTTAGAAAGATATATTTTCATAAATCCAATTGTTTTTGTTCATTTTTGTCGTGGTACTTTCAAAATATCTATTTTAATCTTTGTACCGTTGAAAAGTGAGTATTTTGGTCATTTAATATCATTCTTATCTCATTTATTTCAATCATAATTTTAACATTCTTGAAATGTAGTTAAAATTTGTATAAAATGTAGTAAAGGGTGTCCATTAGGTATAAAATTTGTATTAAAATTTTACAAATGGAGACCAAATTGGTCACTTTTTAAAAACAAAGATACCAAATTGGATTTTTGAAAGTAAAAGATTAAAGTGAATAAAGTTGAAATTACAAAAGATAAAAAATAAACTTTTGAAAATACAACGTTCAAAATTAACCAAAACAAAAAATATAAGGACTTTTTAACCTAAAATTTATTAACCACTTAATTGATTTATTTTTTTTTTTTTTGACAAACACTTAATTGATTTGA